CCAATTAAGTTAATAGTGATTCCACTGTATCTGCTTTTATAAAGACCTACTCTTTTAGATAAAGACGGCTTGGTGAATCATCTTATAGGAGAATGAAGTACCGATAACTGATTTAGCACCCAATGTTGTAACCGAAATGAAAATCTAAATTCCCGTAATGTTGTTCTAAAAGGAAGTTATGCTGTTACAAGCAAGTATTCCTTTGGTCCCAAAAATACTTACACCAAAGAAATGAATGCATTTGGGTCTCCAGCCTTAGAAGCACTAGCAAGTATATTCAGAAGAGCGGTATTTGTGCGCATTTGACTAGTGTCCTGTATTGTTCGTCGAAATGACGATGGTGCAAAATTACGCTATATATTTTTTGCGTAGGACTTTATTTCAGTAAATATCTTTATTAAAACGTTTTTATAATTAGCACACACTTTCGTTTAAGTAGGATATTTGTCTTCCTTGCTTGTAGTAGTTTCATGTCTGTGGAAATTAGACGCCTCTTTGGCATCGCCTATATCACTATCTGGACTGTATTCCTATTTCTCTAAGAAGTTGTGCCTTCTCACCGGCTCGAATGCATTATACTGTTGTCAGTATTTAGTCTTTTTAAAGGCCCCAACATCACTATCACTCTTAAAATGTAAAAACTCTGGTATCGTAGATAAAAGAAGCGGTGAGCGAAACTATTGCCTTACGATTGCTAAGGGAATTTTTCTTTTAATTTCAGCCATCAACATTAAGCAATCGTTAATTTTAAAATGCCTAATCGCACTTGTGTCATCTGTAATAAACACAATTTATTAAACTGTGGTAAATAAAATTTTCCGTCCCTGACTGGAATGCAAAATTTTGAAGCGCATGTAACAAGCACGAATGATGTTTTTGTCAGACTGGTAATTGTTCTGATAGCAGTCTGTATGCAGTGTGTAGGTGTTGGTAAAATGAGTGCCTTTGACGTGTACCCATCATTCGAAAAGATTTACATTCCTTTTTTTCTGATACTGACTTCGTTGACTCGCCCATTATATGCATAGGTTTGATCCAATTTTCCTTTAAATGTCTTTGTGGCCTATGAAATTCTTCCGCAATTATGCAAAGTTAAACTAACAAATGGAATTTTCTAATTATGTGAATTAACCTAAATATTCCTTATAGTTAATAATG